TGGGGCGCTTACTGGCCACTTATCTAAATATATAATTATTAAATTCAAACAAGGACCTATCACCTAATTACTCGGGACACTTACTAGTTACTCTGTTAAATAATTAACTAAAAAAATGAAGAAAGCGCTAATCACCCTATGACTTGGGCCGCTAAGTGGCCACTTTGTTCAATAAATAATTATTAATAACACAAGCGCCTATCATCTCATGACCCGATGTGATTACAGGCAACTCTGTTTTATAATTACTTATTAATAAATAACACAAGTGTCTATCACTCAGTAAATTAAGGTTTAAACTGGCCACTCTGTTAAATTAAATTTATTAAGATAACACGAGTGCCTATCACTGAGTGGCTTAGGGCGCTTACTGGTCACTTTTTTAAATAAATGATTATTAAGTTAACACAATCGTCTATCACCTTATGACCCGGGATGATTACTGGCAACTCTGTTAAATTTATAATTATCTAAATAACAATAAGGCCTATCACCTCATAACCCACGGCGATTACTGAAAACTATGTTGAATAAATAATTATTAAAATAACACAATTGCCTATCACTCAGTGACTTGGAGCGCTTACTGGCTACACCGTCAAATAAATAATTATAAAAATAACACAAGCGCCTGTCACCAAATAACCTGGAGCACTTACTGGCCACTCTGTTAAATAAATAATTATAAGACTAACACAAGCGCTGATCACCCAATTACATGGAGTGCTAACTGGCCACTATATTAATTAAATAATTATTAAGATAACACAAGCACCTATCACCTAATGACCCGGGGCACTTACTGGAAAATCCGTTAAATAAATAATTATTAAAAAATAACACAAGCGCCTATCACCTAATGACCCGGGGTACTTACGAGCTTCTTTTAAATAATACATTATCAAGTAATTACAAGAGCCCCAATTAAAAAGATCTTTGTCGTACTAGATAAGCAATCCGAATTGTGATATGTTCACATGTGTGATCGACCAACTTTTTATTATTTAACAGTGTTGCAAATAATTGTCCTGGATTATCAGGAAAACGGTGGTTGACATATTTATTAATAATTGTTTATTTTCTAGATTTGCAATTAGCGCCCAAGGTTATGCGGTAATAGGTGCTAGTGTTATTAATAATTATTTATTTAACAGAGTGGCCAGTAAGCGCCCCTGGTCATGATGTGATAGGCAATTGTGTTATTTTAATAATTATTTATATTACAGAATTGCCAGTNTATTTTTTAATAATTATTTATTCAACAGAGTTGCCAGTAAGCGCCCCGGGTCATAAGGTAATAGGCGCTTGTGTTATTTTAATAATTATTTATTCAACAGAGTTGCCAGTAAGCACCCCGGGTCATGATGTGATAGGCACTTGTGTTATTTTAATAATTATTTATTTTACAGAATTGCCAGTAAGCGCCCCGGGTCATCAGGTGATAGGCGCTTATGTTATTTTTTAATAATTGTTTATTCAACAGAGTTGCCGGTAAGCGCCCCGGGTCATTAGGTGACAGGCGCTTGTGTTATTTTTTAATCATTATTTATTCAACAGAGTTGCCAGTAAGCGCCCCGGGTCATGAAGTGACAGGCGCTTGTGTTATTTTTTAATAATTATTTATTCAACAGAGTTGCCAGTAAGCGCCCCGGGTCAT